ACCACCCCCTGCCCCTGCCCCCTAACCACCCTCACGCACCTCCCCTACCACCCTCATGCACCTCCCCTACCAGCCCCAACCACGAAACACCACCGAAACCACCCACACCCAAACCCACTAGCCCACCACCGTACACCACCACCTATCCCACCTTCACACACTACCACCAACCGACACCCTAACCCACTACCGTAAACAACCCACCTAACCACCGAAACCCACCTCACCACCACCAAAACCCACCTCACCACCACCGAAACCCACTTCACCACCCAAAACAACCACCGAAAACACCAAAAAAGAACATTAAAAAATCCATAATTCACCAACTTATATTTCCAAAAAATCAGAAAAATCAACAACTTATCTAAAATCAAAATTAAGAAGAAAAAAAAGAGAAATATACCTTAATTTGACAAAAAAAAAACGCCGAAATTGGGTTTATAAGGTCAAATTCGACCATGAAAACTCTAGATCTAGAGTTTTCATGGTTGAATTTGACATGAAAACCTTGATTTTCATTGAAACTCTTCAAATCTTCTTGAGTTGCCAATCAAAGAAATCGAAACGAAAAAAAAAAAAGGGAAGAGGAAAGAGAAACAGGGAAGAGGAGAGGAAGGAGAGGAAGGAGAAAGAGGGGAAAAGGAAAGAGGAGTGGCGCCGAGGCAAGGGGAACACCGGAAAGGAAGGAGAAAGAGGGGAAGAGGAAAGAAGAGAGGAGAGAGAAAGAGAAGGGAGGCGGGGAGGGCGAAAGAAAATAAGGGTTTTTTAGGGTTCTAAAGGGTTTTAAAGGGTTTGATTTTTTTTATTATTTAATTATTTTCCGACGGAATATACCGTCGGAAACTTAATTTTCCGACGGATTTAAATTCTGTCGGAAATTTAATGTTTCGACAGAATATTCCGTCGGAAATTTCCGACGGATTTTATTTCCGTCAGAATATACATCTTCCGACGAATAATTCCGTCGGAATGCCCATATATTCCGACGGAATTGTATTCCGTAGGAATTCCGTCGAAAATTTCAGACAGAATATAAATCTGCCGGAATTTATAGCATTTCCGACGGAATTTTGTGTCCGTCGGAAGATTTTCGTCGGAATCTGGCCTTTTTCTTGTAGTGTATAAGAGTGAAAAACTAGTAAAAACATACAACCATTATATAGTTATACTCCCTATCTCTAAAAGATTGCTTCATATCCTGAAAATGGATACCCTTACATAGTTTTATTGATAAATTTACCCACTTGTAACTTAACTTGTTCTTTTAACTTCTCTTTTCATCCATACTTGTGCCCACACATATGGAGTATAGTATTAAAAAAAATGTTGTAATTGCTTGCTATGTTTATTTATTTATTTTTATCTTACTATGTGGTAACAACAATTCCTATTAAGAATAAATAAATAAATAAAAATAGATTAAAGGATTAGAAGTAAAAAAGAAAATAAAAAAATAATTGCGAAAGGGGTGTAAAATTAGAAGAGGTATAAAAAACAGAGAGAAGAAAGAATTAAAATAAAAGGAAAAAAATAACAAAAAAGTAAAATAGAAATCTCATTGGAAGATAGCTACAACTAGGAAGATAATTATAACGTGCGTTTTGTTTAATATTGTGTGCGTTTTAGGTTGGACCATCTAGAGTTTGCTTTTAGGATGGATAAGGGTTCATATAAGAATTTGCGCTTTAAACCTTAAGAAGCACACAAAAGCTTCCACTTGTCTAAGAGCTCAGAGAGTGCCATGTGTAACCTGGGCCCATTTCCACCCTAATCAAGGGTTTAGATGCAACCATTTCCACCCTAATCAAGGTATCCACATTTAAAGCCTCAAGCTAAACTCTTACACAAGCGTTTTATTACTCTCTCATTGAAGTAATCTAGTATTAATTTAGGCATGGGATAGGAGATCCTCGGACATCCCCGAGGCCAATATACGTGCTCTTCTTGTGACCCAAGCCCAATCTTCCATTCGTTAGACTACGAGATTTGTTAAACATCGCCTACAAATCTCTACATAAAGCCCACAATTATTTTTACTTTGACTCTTTTGCCCTTTTTCTAATTTTTATCGAAACCGTAATTCACTCTCACGAAGAATGTGGAGCTGGAGTGGATCGCCGAGGGACACCGGAGAGTCGTCATCGTCGCCGGAAAGCGAGATAATACGGGGAAAAAATTACAAAAAGTAGGTGTGGCGTCTGGCCGGAACGCCACTACCGTGGCGGTGGCGTCTGGCTGGGACGCCGCAACCGTGGCAGTGGCGCCTGGCCTGGACGCCGCCACCATGGCTGTGGCGCCTGGCCAGGACACCGCCGCCACGGTGGCGGCGTCCTGGCCAGACGCCGCTCCTACTTTTTGTAATTTTAGTTAAACTTTTTGTAATTTTTTTTTCTTTTTTTTGTAATTTTATTTAAACTTTTTTTTTATTTAAACTTTTTGTATTTTTTTTTTGTGGTTTTTTAACTTTGATAAATTTGAAATTAAATATGCGTTAATAAGTTATGTTAAAAATAATTGTTTTAATCTGAAATTATGTTTTAAATATGTGTTAATAAAATTATGTTTAATTTTGTATGTGTAAATTATATATAGAAATGAAATTTACAAATAAAAATTTTAGAAATTACTTATGTTAATTTTGTGTTAAATGTATTAATTTAATCTTTATATAATTATATGTATTTAAAAATAATATGGCAAAGTAGGATTTTTGTACATGATGGTCCCTTCGAAGATGCTCAACAAGCGATTGATTGGGCAAAACAAGTTGCAATTAGATTTGATTTTTGTTTAGTAGTAGCAACTCAGAAATCTCTCAAGGACTCTAGACGGAGACATGGTATGATGTATTGTCATTTTCATATTTAAGAAATTCCATAAAATTGAAACCCAATCTATCCAGGCCAATTCTTGAGTTCATAGCGCAAAACCCAGCCGAGAAAACGAAAAAGGAGGATCTGAGTAATAAAACAAAACCAAATAAAATGAAATCCTGCAACATTTGAGATTGTCAGTCAATTAGACTAAAATCCAAAATAATTGAAACGTAAATCAACTAAAACGCTCAATAAACCCCATGCACGCAACATGCCATACAGTTAAACCCTAGATTTAAATACAATGGCTTTCTACTACTACACAATAAATAAAAATTCAATGTAAATTCACAACAAATCAATAAAACCAAGTATATCTGAATGATATTTAAGCACAAAAGCAAGGAAATTGACTAGAAAAAGAACAATATTACCATAAATTGAAGAAATTAACAAGCAGCGGAAGAAATTTAACACGACTTCAATTCGACCCAAATTCGGTAAATTTAACTACAAATGTTACAAACTTAAACGATAATGTCAGATTTTACAAACTACTATGATAATGTACAAAATGTTCTATAAATAACCGGCAACAGATCAGTAATCCCTCTTTGACGCCCACTTCCACTGCGCAAGGTCCTCGACCGTTTTCTGCTTACCGCAGACATAGTGGACGTAGATGATGTGCCCGATCTACTAACAAATCTACCATCTCTACCCTTACGCACATCTACCCTATGCGTCTCATACATATCATCAAGCCTCTGACTGAATGGACCGTAATCATCATATGGTCCACTCTGATCGTACACATCCTCGTCTGCGTCCTCCTCTTCCTCAACATCATCATATTCATCCTCCTTAGGATGGTGAACCCGTTCTTTGCGAGCCGAGGCCGAAATACCACCTGATCTAACGAAAATGCGATGCCTAACTCCATTAAAAAAATTAAAATATATATAAACATAAAAAAAAATAACAAATAAACAAAAATAATACTAACAAATGACATAAAAAAATAAACAAAAATACAAAAAAAAAAAACAAAAATACAAAAAAAAAAAAAAAAAAAAAAAAAAAAAAAAAAAAAAAAAAAAAAAAAAAAAAAAAAAAAAAAAAAAAAAAAAAAAAAAAAAAAAAAAAAAAAAAAAAAAAAAAAAAAAAAATAAAACAAAAAAAAAAAAAATAAAAAAAAAAAAAAAATAAATAAAAAAAAAAAAAAAAAAAAAAAAAAAAAAAAAAAAAAAAAAAAAAAAAAAAAAAAAAAATAAAATAAACCCCCCCCCCCCCCCCCCCCCCCCCCCCCCCCCCCCCCCCCCCCCCCCCCCCCCCCCCCCCCCCCCCCCCCCCCCCCCCCCCCCCTCTTCATAATTTAAAAAAAAAAATACCTGCACTGACCCCCCCCCCCCATCGAATTCAGAAAGAAGATACATAAATTTATTTTTTTTTTTTTATATAATAAAATTCAATTCAATGAAAATTGTCTTATTAATCCATGTAGCAATCACTAGAAAACTTAACTATATTGCACCAAAAAAAACAATATAATTACAAATGAAACAAATATAAATGAAAAAATAAAAAACATACATATTATACATATACTCTCAGCATTCTAAAAGAAAAAAAAATGGATGCCCTTCCATAGCTTTATTGGTAAATTTACCCACTTGTAACCTGACTTGTTCTTTCAACCTCTTTTTTCATCCATACTTGTGCCCACCCATGTGGAGTACAGTATAAAAAAACGTTGCAATTGCGTGCTATGTTTATTTATTTATTTTCAATCTTATTAAGTAGTATCAGTATTTCCTATCAAGAATAAATAAATAAATGAAAATGGAGTAAAGGATTAGGGGTAAAAAGAAAATTAAAAAATAATTGAAAGCTGAGTTAGGAAAGTAGTACAATTAAACTAGATTATTTCTAGTCTCTCACTACTAGAATATGAGGAAGTCTCAGCTTGGATGACTCTGATAGAGCTTGTTGGTATAAAATTGTACTTAGATGATATTGTTTATTATAAACAAAGAGATCTAATGATACCAATAAAAAAAACGTTTTTGTTTTGTTGGTATAAATGAAAAAGTATTTTAGTATCATGATAATACTATAATACCAACAAGGTATTATTAGAGATAGTCATGATTCTAATTATTAGAGGTAGAGAATTCCTCACTAGTATATATTTAAACAAGGAATATGTTGAATAAGGTGCCAGTATTCTCCATTTGGACTCTGACACTTCTCCCTAAGTTTGTCGCATAAGCTAATAGAAAGTGTGTTCAAGTTTGGGAGGTTTACTATTTGATGCGGCAGTGATTCCAATCTTTGGCACCGTTTGAAATCAAGTTTTTGTAGGGAGGTGAGACTGTCAATCCATTCTGGTATTTCTTTGATATTTTCTAATCCATAGATTTTCAAGGTTTGAAGGGTTGATAGATCTCGAATTCCCTCTGGAAGAACCTTTATTTTTAGGAACCAAAATTCCAGGAGGCGCAGGTTGGGAAAGCAACTACTAAATGGGAGGGTACATGCTTGTTGCTGATGAGACTGCTCACCAATACTTGAAGGCGATATAGAGAGTTCCTTGAGAGAGGTGAAACCACCTATCTGCTGCCTGGTAATTGTAATCGCCAACTCCGCACTGTCCACATCTAGCGTACGTAATTTGGGGAATGCAGGCTTCCAATTAACGAGATGCTGATGTTGAACCTGGACATGGAGTTGGATATCCTCTTTTGAATCTTGCTCACTACTTGTCATCTCCCACCATCCCTTCAGTTTTGGCATCACACTGACTCGTAAATGTATTAGGCTAGGGAATAAGGGGGCTTGGGACAACTCATTCTCATTATCCGCCACATACTCTACTTCATCTAACCCACTGAGAAATAGATATTCCAGATGAGGGAGCCTTCCAAAGGAGCACAGATATTTGCATGATTTACAACGTTTAATCTTTATCATTGTCAAGCAAGGAAGATGATTATGTAGACTATCCATCATCCAACTTGGTAACCTCTCCCCTCCATACCCATCTATTTTGAGTATCTTTAGATTATAAGGGGGCTTGAGACATTCTAACACCCTCTTATCCTCTTTTGTGCCATTCTCAAATCTTATATTCAGTTCTCGGAGGTTTTCTTTCATATTCAAGTTTGTTGCACTAATCTCTGATAACGCTATATACTTTGACTCCCTACGCACCTCAATATCCAAATTTCCACTTAGGTTGTTCAGTTGATTTAGATCTGCTAGCCTGCCCATAATACCAGCCTCTGAATCAAACTGGTTGCCCACTATGAAAGTATCTAATGTTCTAAGATCTGTCAACTTCCCCAATCCCATGGGCATATGCCTCAACTTCTTACTCTCTGCCAACTTAAGGTGTCTCAGATTCACCAACTTGCTCATGTCCCTGGGCAACTTCTCAAGGTAGAGTGATTGTAAATTCACTAGCCGTGTTATTGAAGTTGGGAGTTTCATTATTCTAGTTAGACTAAAATTTAGAAACCGTAAGCAGATTAAATCACCTACAGATGTTGGCAATTCCTTTATCCCCACCCTATGTAGGTCTAACACCCTTAAACTTTCAAATTTTGATATTAATTTGCCACACATGGACAAATTCCTTATCTTTAGCTCTGTTGTAATCATGTATCTATCAAAGCCTCTGATTAATGATTGTAGGTTTTTGAGTTTGAATACTGAAGAAGGCACTTCCCAATAACTTTCGTCCAAACCTTCATTTGAAACTGAACACGTCTCAGCTTTCCAGAAAGATAGATGACGAACCCTTTCGTCAATTTCAACTGTGTTTGATTTGTGGTTTATGAATCAAAGCTTGAGGACTGGTTGAAGGATTATAGCAAAAGTTAAGCTGTGAGACTGTTTGGTTCATGTAAAGCTAAGGGAAAGGAAATAAGAAAGGGCAGTGTTTTGAAGTTGATTAGTGGTATGTGAATGGAAGTATGAAGGAGTGGTTGATGAAGGATTATATAAAGTAGTATGTGTTTAGAATTGTCATTAGTCTACAACTTTTGGGAAATATCTGAGATATTTCTACAAGCTATGTTAGAGTGTAGATTCTACAATTTGCAACCCCACACACGCACTTACACCGTGCCTTTGCCGCCCCTCAAATCACTGATTTAATATTTCTTCACTAGGCTTTTCAAACTTTTTTGAGATTGTTTGTTCTTTGTTGGAGCATTGTTTAGTACCACAAACTAAAATTAGTTGGATTTTATCGACTATTTTTATTTCTTATCATGACTATATTTGCTTGGCCAAAACCAAATACGGAGTATAATACAAGTAGTGCAAAAAATATCATGAGCTATAATAAAATATTATGGCACTAATCTTAGGAAGCTATCTAATCATATCCTAGATTAGTGGCTTAAATCTTGTAACAATATCCTAGATTAGTGCCATAATACTTGTAAAAGTATTCTATATATATCTCGGTTGAATATTGAATGGAAAGCACACACAAATTAAAGCTTCTTTCAAAAAACATTAATGAAAAAGTGATAAAGTGATAAAAGCATTACTGAAAAAGTGATTAAAGCACTGCATTACTGATTGATTCACAATTGTACCGAATCACAACTTTTGAGAAATTTCTGAGATATTTCCCACATTGCCCCTCATGGGCTCATGCTATGTCATACGAGTAAATATTGCTGTACCGAGTCACAATTTTCTGAGAAATTTCTGAGGCCTTTCAACGGAAATTATTTCAAATGAAAAACGGGTTTTTTTTATACATTAACTCTATATTATTGGATTTTTTTACATCATGCCCTCTTGTTTAGATAATTACACACTGTAACCTTATAGTATAATTACTGAATAAACTATAACTTTGTCGTTATCCAGGCGTTATTAACCTTGTAGTATATTAATGTAATTGTTTTCATCAAGAAATATTATTTCATCCTTAAGAGTTATTTTTCCGTTGAAAATGTAACGGTTTTTATCAAGTATATAGCCATATAGGCAATGCTAGTGTACTAGTGTACTACATAACTAAATCGCATATTAATTATAGGCATATATTTGTATATTCGTACTATGTATACATTAGACATTACTATTATGTACCGTTAAAATTTTAAAGATTGAAAACTAGAGAGTGATCTTTTTTGTACAATGACATTGTTATTTTGAAATCAGCTGAAAATTCAAATGGAATTGAACGAATGTCTAGTATTGAAAAGCGAAGAAGACATTATTGGAATTGCTGAGTCACAATTCTTATTGAAAGGCCAAGAAACCCTCTTTAACTATTGGGAAATAATACTAAGTTAACTAAGAAACCCTCTTTAACTATGAGATATTTCATAATACTATGTTATATTTCCGCGTTTTATGAAGTAGTATTTTTTATTTTAGGCAAAAGGGGAACGAGCTTTTATTAGGAAGAAATAAATCTCCCAAAAAACAACCAAGTTCATACAGTTCAGAGTTCAGACTATGAAGCCAACTGTTTCCAAAAAGAGAAATACTATATTACTATGTTATAGTTATTGGCTTATTGCCAGTTAGCTATACTATTATGTGCTTGGGCATGTAAAGCCTACGTCGTGTTTTGTTTTCATCGGTTTGATAGACCTTTAAGTGAAAAATTATTATATTTTCAAGAACAAACACACTAGTTTTTCTTTGTTCGGTTTTTTCAAGAGAAGCCGTAGAGAAAAGAAAATGTAAGTAGAAGAATAAGGGTGGAAGAGAAAATAGAAGAACCGGGAAAATGGGCATCCCTTACGAATATGTTTTATCATGTGAGAGAGCTGGTTTTCCACTTAAAGAAATAGAATCATTTTTTTTTTTTTTTTTTTTTTTTTTTTACAAACCAAATATGGGAAAATGATTGAAAAACTATTTTCTTGAAAAATAATTTCAACACAAAAGACCTCCAAACTTTATACCCCGTAGTCCGTACACACACAAGACATGTTATAATATAAAAAAAGTTAACACGCAAAATATGTCAAAATATACATACTTCCTATTGTCAAGTTTTCATGTACGTACTACTTTAGATGACAATAGTACATACTTAAATTCTTAAGGCTAATTTAATATACAAGATAAATAGGTATGGCTTTGTTCCACTATTCGTACTATGTATTCATCGGGCATTATTATTGGACACGTTATGAAAACTAAAGGCTAAAAAGTGAACTTTCATGTACCATGAGATGACCCCTCTAGATATCTGGAGCTAAAATAAAATATAAAAAAGAGCAACTGAATCAAGGAAATGAGAAGGTTAAGTACAACAATTTCAATTCGGTTTGACAGTTTAGTTTCACCTCGGATTTTGATTTGATACGGTTCACGTTGAAATGGGTTCATTTAGTCAGTGGATCAGATCGATTCGATTTAGATAATTTCAAAAATAAAATAATGAACATAAAAAAGAATCTATAGTAATTTCTTAGTAGTCAGTAGGTAGCACATCTAAAGACCAATTGGGTAATAATTACATTAATCTTAATATATATTATAATTTTTTTAATCTTAATTGATATTACTCCAGACAATATATATATATATATATGATAGAATATGATAAATAATCTAGATATTATTTTGTGTAGGAGGATATATTTTTGTGAATATTCGGTAAATATCTTTTGAGCTTTCCTAACGTATTAGGACTCATCGTTGTAGCCCTATACATATGAATCAATGGAATACACTCCAACGGAAGGAGTTTGATATTATCTAACATGGTATCAAAGCTTAGGTTTTAGATCTAATCCTAGCTTCCGCAATTTTTTTCCCTTTACTGATTATTTTTTTTTCCTTTGCCCTAGCCGTCACCCCTAGCTACCCCTACCACCATTGCCGCCTCTCACCATGGTCAAGGAAGGTAAATCATCCGTTTTTCATCCGGCTCTTGGTGTTAGTAATATTAAAAATGCTATTCCTCTACTTCTTGATCGTGAAAAAGTTCAATATTCCAATTGGGTTGAGTTATTTGAGTGTCATGCTCACGCTTTTGATGTTCCTGATCATATTGACCCAAAAACACCACGTCCTACAGACCTTTCCAACGCTATGTGGAAAAGGCTTGATTCCGTTGTCAAGAATTGGATTTACGGTACTATTTCCACTTATTTGCTAGAAATAATTTTGTGCAAAGGGGATACGGCACAACAAGTTTGGGATAAACTTAAGGAAATTTTTCAAGATAATAAAACCACTAGGGCGGTTTATCTGGAAAACCAATTTAATCAATTACACTTGTCCAAATTCTTTGACATCTCTTTTTATTGTCGAGAATTAAAGAACTTGAAGGACCAACTTGCTAATGTTGATCAACCCACGTCGGAGCAAAAACTCGTAATTCAACTAGTTTCGGGGCTAGTGAATACAGACTTTGATACGGTTGCTGCAATGATACAACAAACCATCCCGTTGCCTTCCTTCGAAACAGCACAGTCTTGATTACTACTTGAGGAGTCAAGGCGAGCCAATGACTCATCGTCACAGGCGTCCTCTTTTGTGGCTCAATCCGGCAACACTGCAAGCTCAACGACCCCACAACAGCAGCAGGCGGCACCGACCAGTCAGGGTGGCGGCTTCAGTGGTCGTGGTCGTGGTCGCGGCCGAGGTCGAGGCAAGGGTCGTGGCCGAGGAACTCCACAACAGCAGCAACAATCACAACAGTAATCTCTTCAATGGGGTGCACCTCCCAACTGGAATGGCCCAGCAAATTAGTCCCAGCAAGCCTCCCCACAATGGGGTCAGGCACCATTCCCTCATCCTCAGCAATGGGCTGGCCCACGACCCCCCTATCCAGCTCAGCAACAAAGACCTCAGCAGGCCTATTTCTTTGGGCCTCCACAACAGTACCAAGCTGCTTTCTCTTCTCACGGATCAGAGTATGGTTCGGCAATGACTACAACCGAGCTAGGCAACGCATTTGCAACAATGAGTTTCCCTAATTACGATCCGTCTTGGTACATGGATTTCGGAGCAACTTCTCACATGACAAATAATGCCGGTAAACTTTTACCCTCTTTAATTTAAGCACATCTAATTATATTCAAGTGGGTAACGGTCAACGCATTCTAATTACGGGTTATGGTCATTCCACTATTGCTAATACATCTCTTTCCTTGCGTGATGTTTATTTAGCTCCCCAAATCATCAAAAATTTAATTTCTGTTAGAAAGTTTACTTCTGATAATTCTGTGTCAATAGAGTTTGATCCTAATGGTTTTTCTGTGAAGGATCTACGAACGGGGAATCTAATAACCAGATGCAATAGTACCGGGGACCTCTATCTAGTGACCACAGCACCGACAACCTGTCTAGCCACTTCTCTCACAGCCTTGTCTCCTTCCACGTGGCACAACCGCTTAGGACATCCCGGGGCACCCACTTTTAATTTTCTTAGAAGTAGAAATTTGATTGATTGTAATAAGGAGCCCGACTCCACTTCTTGCGTAGGTTGTCAATTAGGAAAACATACTCGCTTGCCTTTTTATAATTCCAATAGTACTACTTATTCTGCCTTTGACATTATTCATGCCGATTTGTGGACTTCTCCTGTTCGTAGTGATAAAGGTCACAAATATTACCTAGTTCTATTGGATGATTTTACTCATTATGTGTGGACTATTCCTCTTGTGTATAAATCTCAAGCTTTTCAAACCTTCCTTAATTTTTGACAATATGTTCTAACTCAATTTGAACGTCCCATTAAATCCTTTGAAAGTGATCATGGTCGTGAATTCGACAATGACCCGTTCAAATTATTTTGTGTCCAAAATGGATTGGTTTTTCGCTTCTCTTGTCCTCACACATCTTCTCAAAATGGCAAAGCCGAACGCATGATTCGTACACTTAACAATGTTAAACGTACTCTATTGTTTCATGCATCTCTTCCACCGACGTTTTGGCATTATGCCTTGGAAACGACCACTTATCTCCTAAACATTATTCCTACCAAAACTATCAATCAAATCACTCCGACACAAGCTTTATTTGGGGTTGTCCCGTCCTATAATCATCTTAGAGTATTTGGGTGTCTTTGTTTCCCCAATTTATCAGCAACAATGCCTCATAAGCTTGCACCTTGCTCCACCCCGTGTGTTTTCTTGGGCTATCCTTCCGACCATAGAGGCTATAGGTGTATGGAAATCACCACTAATAAAATCATAATCTCTCGCCATGTCACCTTCGATGAACATACTCTTCCATTTACCCATATCACTAAGTTTCAATCGACTGATTACGATTTTCTAGATTCGGATGACCCATCACCAATCTTGCAACACCACATCCGTATGCAACAAACACCACGCCCAACCACGTAGCCCACTCCACAGGCGGGTTGTGGCACAGCTCAGGAGGCCATAGGTGGGCTGCGGCATTCTCTGCCAACCCACGGCCCAGCTGGTGCTGGGATTCCAGTAGCCCAAGCATCACGCCCCACACACCAGCCCACTCCACAGGCGGGCTGTGGTGTTCCTCAACCAGCCACAGGTGGGTTGCGGCCCACTCTGTCATCCCAGCCTACGGCCCAGCAGACTCATCCCACACACCCCTCACCTACGGCCCAGCAACACACTCACTAGCCCACCACGCCACCTAGTCCTCATCTCTCAAATCATCCCAGCAGCCCCATTATGCCAACCAACTCAATCCTTTCTCCAGGCACCTCATCTACATACACACCACCCCCACTTTGCGGCCTCACGCCAATTACTCCGACTAGACCACCACCTTTATCACCTCAAATGCAAACTCGGTCTAAGCACGGAATAGTTAAACCAAACCCGAAATTCGGTCTATCCGCCATCATCCGTTCCCCGCTTCCCAAAAATCACAAACAAGCCCTTTCCGACCCAAATTGGAATGCCGCGATGCGTGATGAATATAGTGCTTTAATTGAAACGGGGACATGGGATTTGGTTCCTAGGTCTGCGGGGGTGAACATTGTTAACTGTATGTGGTTGTTTCGTCATAAATTGAATGATAATGGTGATCTTGAAAGACACAAAGCTCGATTAGTCTGTGATGGCAAGTCTCAGGTAGAAGGTGCTGATTGTGATGAAACCTTCAGTCCGGTTGTTAAACCGGCCACTATACGCACAATTTTGAGTTTGGCTATGGCTCTTCAGTGATCTATTCACCAACTTGATGTGAAAAATGCCTTTTTGCATGGTGATCTGAATGAGTGTATGTACATGCATCAACACAACAAGCAAAAGGCCAGATTCCGACGGAAATCTTCCGACGGACACAAAATTCCGTCGGAAATGCTATAAATTCCGGCAGATTTATATTCCGTCGGAAATTTCCTACGGAATACAAATCCGCCAGAATATATGGGCATTCCGACGGCATTTTTCGTCGGAAAATGTATATTCTGACGGAAATAAAATCCGTCGGAAGTTTCCGACGGAATATTCCGTCGAAACATTAATTTTCCGACAGAATTAGAATCTGTCGGAAATTTAAGTTTCCGACGGAATATTCCGTCGGAAATAATTATATAATAAAAAAAAACAAACCCTTTAAATAAAAAAAAAAAAAAAAAAAAAAAAAACTCTCTTTAAAACCTAAGAAAACCCTAACCCATACACTCTTTCTCTCTCCCCGCCTCCCTTCTCTTTCTCTCTCCTCTCTTCTTTCCTCTTCCCCTCTTTCTCCTTCCTTTCCTCCTTCCTTTCCTCCCTTCTCCTTTGAATTTTCGGCGCACGCAACCTTCCTCTTCCCTTCTTTCTCCTTCCTCTCCTCTTCCCTGTTTCTCTTTCCTCTTCCCCTCTTTCTTTTTTTTTCGTTTTCTTTGGCAATCGAAGATAATTTCAAGAAATTCAATGGCAACTCATGAAAATCAAGGTTTTCATGTCAAATTCGACCATAAAAACTCTAGATCTAGAGTTTTCATGGTCGAATTTGACCTTATAAACCCAATTTCGACGTTTTTTTTGTTCAAATTAAGGTATGTTTCTATTTTTTTCTTCTAAATTTTGATTTTAATTAATGTTGAATTTTCTGGTTTTTTTGCAGTATATGGTGTTGGTGAAGTATGGATGTTTTTTATGTTTTTTTTTTGTGTTTTTGGTGGTTGTTTCGGTGGTGGTAAGGTGGGTTTCGGTGTTCTTTTGGGTGGTTTCGGTTAGGTGGGTTTCGGTGTGGGGAGGTGGGTTAAGGTGGTAGTTGGGGAGGTGGGTGGGTGGGTCTGGTGAGGTGGTGGAGGGGCTGGGCGATGGGGGAAGTGGGTTAAGGTGGTAGGTGGGGTTGTGGGTTTCGGTGAGGTGGGGAGGTGGGCTGGGGCCAGTGGGTTAAGGTGGTAGGTGGGGTTGTGGGTTTCGATGAGGTGGGGAGGGCGATGGGTCAGGTGGGTGTGGGCTGGTGGTAGGGGGCTGGTGTGGGATGGGCTGGTGGTAGGAGGCTAGTGGCGTGGGCTGGTGGTGGGTCAGGTGGAGGGGGGGGGGGGCGCAGGTGGTAGGGGGCTGGTGTGGGGTGGGCTGGTGGTGGGTCAGGTGAGGTGGGTTAAGGTGGTAGGGGGGCAGGTGGTGTAGGTCGGTGGTAGGGGGGCGCGCTGGTGGTGTGTGCTGGTGGCAGGGGGCTGGTGGGGGTGGCTTTTTTTTTTTATTCAATTTTCCGACGGAATATTCTGTCGGAATCCACTTCAGCTCCGACGGAAAATTCCGTCGGAACTTTGCGACGGAATTTCGGTTAAAGTTAAAACGAGCTTCGACAGAATGTATTCCGTCGGAAATTTCGTCGGGAAAGTGGCTTCCGACGGAATTTCCCTTGGAAAACGTCGAATTTCCGACAAGGGCTGTTCCGAGAGACCATTTTCGACGGAATTCCGTCGGTATGCCGTTTTCCGACGGATTTTCCCCCGTTTTCGGCGGAAAAAGTCCATCGGAATTCAACTGTTTTCTTGTAGTGCAACCCCCCGGGTTTGTTGACAAGAGGTTTCCAGGCCATGTTTGCAGGCTCCGCAAGACTCTTTATGGCTTAAAACAAGCTCCACGGGCTTGGTACCAGCGGTTTGCTAACTTTCTCTTGCAGATGGGGTTTGTCATTGCTAAGAGTGACAGTTCTTTATTTATTTTCCGACATGGGAAAGACATGGCATATTTGCTACTCTATGTTGATGATATTGTGTTAATTACTTCTTCAAATCTGTTGCGTGACCGCATCATTTCTCACTTACGTACGGGATTCCCTATGACTGACTAAGGTCCTCTAAACTATTTTCTGGGCATTGCTGTTACTCGTACTCCTTCATATATGTTTTTGTCTCAGCAAGAGTATGCACAGGAAATTATAGAGCGCGCAGGCATGGCTAGTTGTAAACCTGCAGCGACTCCAGTGGACACTCAATCCAAGCTTAATGCCGAGACGGGCCCTAAGTTTCATGATCCAACACTCTATCGTAGTCTTGCAGGTGCACTACAGTACCTCACTTTCACTCGCCCTGATATAGCTTATGTAGTTCAGCAGGTGTGTTTATTCATGCATGATCCCAGACAGGCGTATTATGATGCATTAAAACGCATTCTGCGTTACATTCAGGGCTCCATTGATCACGGGTTACATTTATATCCTTCTTCATCCATGCACTTAATTACTTATACTGATGCAGATTGGGGCGGGTGTCCAGACACCCGTCGCTCTACCTCGGGTTATTGTTGCTTTCTGGGGGACAATCTCATTTCCTAGTCGTCTAAGCGTCAACCTACTCTTTCTAAATCCTGTGCAGAGGGAGAATACCGAGGCGTCGCTAATGTTGTTGCCGAGGCATGTTGGCTTCGTAATCTTCTTTTGGAGTTACATCGTCCTCTCCGACAGGCCACTATTGTTTATTGCGATAATGTCAGTGCCATTTATTTATCTCATAATCCCGTACAACACCAACGCACCAAGCACATCGAAATGGACATTCATTTCGCTCGAGAAAAGGTGGCGTTGGGGCATGTACGGGTCTTGTACGTTCCATCTTGTTACCAGTTTGCAGACATCTTCACGAAAGGCCTCCCTCGACAACTATTTTTGGAGTTCAGATCAGATCTAGTCTCAGCGTTCGTCCTCCTCCCGCTATGACTACGGGGGTGTGATAGAATATGATAAATATTCTAGATATTATTTTGTATAGGTAGATATATTTTTGTGAATATTCGGTAAATATCTTTTGAGCTTTCCTAACGTATTAGGACTCATCGTTGTAGCCCTATATATATGAATCAATAGAATACACTCCAACGGAAGGAGTTTGATATTATCTACCAATATATATAGTATATAAAAGTTTAGAGGGAATTAATATTATTTTTTTTATTTGTTTTTTGAGAGCCACAAGGGGGTGATGAGAATCGATCCCAAGATCTCTTGGAATCGGGAGGGCAGCTCTAACCACTTGAGTTATCTCTCACTCTCATTAACATCATAATAATAGGTGCATATATAGGTAAACAAACATTTTGAGGATATAATTGTCCTCATACTATTAATAACCGTTTTCTGATCATACTTTTTAAAAGGCAAAGAAGTAGAGTGAAATCGAATCTAAATTGATATTTATAAAACTTAAAATATATTGACATTTTTGAACTTGTTCCTTAAACTTATCTTACGATTTGAAGTAATTAGCCCTTAAGTAAGACCATGTAATTTATTTTAGAATAAATATGTTCATATAATTAAGGTAGTATTCATAATGGTGCTCATTGCTCAAGTTCAATTGACAGTTTATGGCTAAATTAAGTTTGCCTAACTGCCTAAGTTTAGAATCATATAAAAATTTCATAACTTTCGTAAAAAAAAAAATTAAAAAAAAAAAAGTATAACTTAACAACCGGCTTGAATTTATAAACTAATCTTATGTTTCTTATCCATTTAATAATTGACTATATAACATTTTTAATAAAAGTAAAAAGTTTAAAAAGAAGTAATCACAAATTCATACGGAATACTATTTATCTATGTAACAGCTTCCTATACTAACTCTAACAAGTACCCATGTGACTATATTTTCTTAATATAAATCACTAATATTGTTCAGAGTAGGTTAGCAAAATGTAAAAAGTCTAAGTAAAAAATACTTAACAAAACAAACAAAGTATAACATTTATCAGTAGTACTAATCTGGATATGTTTTTAGGCCCTATCTAGGGGCCTAGGTTGTAGTAGGTGAGGGTCGACCCTAATATGAGTCAAAAGAGTGGTCTTTTGATAATACATGAATAAAAAAAATAAAAAAAAAATAGATAATATATTTTCTGTAATTTCAGCTTAGCTTTTTTTAATTTTTAGTATGTCTGGTTTAGGGAGGCATATAAAGCATTGGAATAATTTAATTGCGAGAACACAAATTATTTTATTTATTTATTATAATTATTTTTAATCATGTCTTACAAAAAAAAAAAAAAAAAAAAACCAAGTATCTTATAACAACATTTTTTAAAATGTTGCTTAGACAAAAAGTTTAATGTTGTTATTTTTTTGGGCAACATTTTGTGATATTGTGGTCTTACATACTATAGTGCAACACATTTTAAATTGTTGTATTGTAATGTAGTGTAGAATGTCTAATATCAAGGCAACAAATAAGGATTGTTGCCTTTTACCGTAAAAGATAACAATTTTTAAAGTGTTGCATTGTTACATGTTGCCTATTCTCAATTTTTTTTTAGTGATTTCAAAATGCATAAACCTTGACAGTATGGTCTAAAAACCCATGATTGCCATGTACTTATGGAACAACTGCTGCCACTTGCAAATCGTGGAGTGTCCTTACCCAAAGTCTACGATGTGATAGTGAAGTTGAGTACATTTTTCAAGGACTTGTGTTCTAAGACATTGAAAGTAAAAGATTTGGAAATTCTGGAACGTGAAATTGTAATCACCTGGTGTGTGTGAAATGGAGAAGATTTTTCTCCCATCTTTTTCCACTATCATGGTCCACTTGTGTCTCCACCTAGCTACGGAAGCTAAAATTGGTGGACCGGTACAATATCATTGGATAATGTATCCAATAGAGAGGTATTCTTTATACATGGATAATTTTGTATAATTTTTTTAAAATTAGCTAATACAACATGTTTTATAAAAATATTATTTTCGTAGACTCGTACGCAAATTTAAGTGTTATGTTCACAATAAAAGTAGACCAGAGGGTCCCATTGCAGAAGGTTAGATCATTGAGGAGTGCATGTACTTTTGCTCAAAGTACTTGCATGAGATTGAGACCAAATTTAATCAACCTGAGAGGAATGATGACGTGGAAAATAATGAATATGAAGGTCTATCGATTTTTGCATCGTCAGGTATTCCTTTAGGGAAGGCTAAATGTAGGTCTGAGTTAACACAAGTTCGAGAATATGTACTTAAGAACTGTGATGAAGCACAAACTTATTTAGAGTATGATACTTTCTTTTTTATTTAATAAATTACCAAATATACTTTCTCACTAATATCTTATAACAACTATTCTTTTGAATTTCAGTGAATATGAAGAAAGCACATCTAACAAAAATTTAGTACATTGGTTTCGTGATCGGGTATTTTCTATAATCAAATGTAAATATATTTTTAATTATCACTAGGACTAGTATAAGGTTTTGGTTTTTTACAAAATTTTATTTGTTGTTAGGTCATGGATCTGCCTAATGACGTCAATGACCAGGTGGTGAAAGATTTGAAAACGTTGTCTCTTGGTCCTTTGAAAGGTGTTCAATGTTTTAATGGGATTCTTGCAAATGGCTTTAGATTTCACACAAAGAATGTAGAAATGAAAAGGGTACACCAAAATAGTGGTGTTACGGTCAATGGCATTGTTGGGGATTCGGAAAAAGACTACTACGGGATTCTCAGTGACATACTTGAGATACAATATGTAGATGGAAAACGTGTGGTGTTGTTTCATTGTGATTGGTGGGATGTTCTTAGAGTAGGAAGAGGTGTCAAGGTTGACAAACATGAAAATGTGAGTGCCAATAGTCTTTGTTCATTATGTACCAAAGAACCGTTTGTGCTTATGTCTCAAGCTCAACAAGTCTTTTATGTTAGTGACGGACTTGATCCCGATTGGCTTGTTGTTGTGAAGACCCATCCAAGGCATAACTATAATGTTGTAGAAAAGGAGGAGATTGAAAGTGAAATATATGGTCTGAAATATTAGACCATTTGTGGGCTTGCATCCGGGTAATATTGTATCATAATACACATGTTCATGAGGTTTTTTTATTTCTCTTATTACACAAGTAAGCATTAGCATTTCATTAAAGCTCAAGCAAACATTGTTGCTTGACTAAGTTTGCAGCCCTTGCTTGCAGAACAAGTTTATCAGATATCCAGCTGTACCACCTAACAAAAACTGACTAAAAACCCTAACAAATATGTTTTATATAATTTTTCTAATATTTTTCCTAACAACAGATATCCTACTCTAACTACAACAACTGGAATTGACTCAAAATTCAAATCCAATTAGTGCAGTTTATTCTTGCAATCTGACCCTCCTGCAGAACTCAAAAACTGATGAATTTTGACAATTGTAACTAAATGATGGTGTCTGATCAGAATTGAAGCCCTCCAAATTCTCTTTGTGAAATCATAGAGCCTAAACAGATAATTTGCACTTTCTGAATCCTTTCTGCAGGGTATACACAAATGACTTTTTGTTCTAATCCTCTCTTCATTACTTCGTGCTATAGCTATCACGTCTAATTAACATCATTTATCATTAGCATGAGCATCCTTTAGACCACTTGTATTTAGCGTATCAATAAATGTAATATATATAGTTAAGCTTCAGAGTTATTAATGCACTTATTTTTGTTATTTCAGGAGAAGTGGTCATTTGATGATCTTGAGACAAAGGAGGGAGTGCGTCATGAAACACGCACAGCGTTTGTTTAGATTTGCAAGGAGCAAATTGAAAAGAAAGTACTTTAGTAAGCTAAAAACAAAAGTTGAATGGAAAAATAAGCCAAGTGACATGACTAAAGTTGAATGGAAGTTCTTGATTGACTATTAGAGTAATGACACAATTATGGTAATATACACCAATACTATATATTTATTTTTACATAAGTTACATATTTAATTGTTTAAATTCTTATTACTATATGAGAAGAGCAAAAAAGCAAGTGAAAGTAGGGCCCATCAATAGATGTCTCACTACAATGATACTAAAAGCTTTGGTCGCACTAGACAAGAAATTGTACGTAAATAAATAATGCATTACTTGTTATTGTTTCATTATAAAGTACATTAATAATGAGTTAATTTGAACTTAAAAATTCTGTGATGTAGAGGAAGAAAAATGGTGGGAAGTGTTCTCGAGTTGATCTACTACTTGCATCTCGTACAAGAAAGTCTGAGAAGGTTGTGAATGCAGTAACTTTAGAAAATAACACCCGTGCAGTAGTAAGTTATGAATTGTTGATTATTATTTTCATATAACATTTTCTATCTTAGATTCTAACTTAACAATTTTGTGTATGTATAGGATGAGATAAACAAACTGAAGGAGCAAAGAGATCAAGGTCTCAATGAGAAAACAGATGAGCAAATCATTCAAGATGTACTTGGCAAAGATACACACGGGTACTTGAAAGGTTATGGACCTGGTAGAAGTATTACCCAACATTTTAAAGTAAAGCCTTCTCGATTAGATCATTCTGAAGAGGTGAATGAAGTTAAAAAGAAAGCAAATCAAGCACTTGAAGAAGCAAGAAAAGATGTTGATAACCCCCTATTTTCTTTTTATTGTTTTTTAAAGTGTCTCAATTTAGTTTTTGTACTAGTTGCATGATCCACTTAAACAATTGTTAGTGATTAAAACATTAAAAACTATATAGTCAAGTGGAAAGTTGTTGGAATTGTCTCAATATATAGTTTCATAAATTATATTATTATTTATTTTTATTCTTAATAATAATCAAAATTTTACATCAATGCACCTATCCAGTCAAATTAATACTCCTTTTTAACAACAATATCATATTAACTAAAGCAGTAGAACAACAAAACACACAAGAAAACAACAAATACATTGACCGACAAAACCCCATAAAGGACATATGCGAGCAAGTTTCACATAAGGAGCTAAGTTGCTGGACTTTGAAACAAGAGGCGAAACCGGACGTCGCTTTGAGCCTACACAATCCACCCTTCAACCTACAACAACTAAGGTCAAATTAGGACCCTTTAAAAACATGGTACTATTTATTACGGAGTATTTAAGTAGAGTGGTTAAAAATACACAAGTCAAACCCGCTTTCCTTTTACTCTCCCTCCCCATCAACACCTACCAATGAACCCCACAATCACCCCCGCACCAACAACCGAAGAAGAGCTACAACAACTAAGATCATCCCTTCCAAAAGAACTATGGTTCAATTCTTACCCTATGTATTTCTACCAAAATTGTTGGAATATAATTCTTGATTCCACCATTTCTTGTCAAAATCATTTTCAAGCCCAAGATTCTGATATTTTCATTGCTAGCATCCCAAAAACTGGCACAACGTGGCTCAAATCCTTGATTTTCGCCATTTTTAACAGAAATAATTACCGGATTTCTGAAAACCCTTTACTTAAACACAACCCCCATGAATTAATTCCTCAATTAGAGTCCATAATTTATGCTAATCCACAAAACCCAGATCTCAAAACCCTAGAGAAAAAGCTAGATTACCCTAGAATTTTAGGCACCCATCTTCCAATTCAATCACTACCCACTTCAATTAAGACCTCTAATTGCAAGATTATATACATTTGCAGGAACCCATTTGACACTTTTGTATCATCTTGGTTATTTTACTTGAACTATGATGAGAATGAGAGTGTAAAAAGTAATATGATTGATGAATATTTTGGTAAGTTTTGTGAAGGGAAATTCCCATTTGGCCCTTTTGAGGATCATGTATTGGGGTATTGGAAACAGAGTTTGGAGGAATCAGGGAAGGTTTTGTTTGTAAAATTTGAAGATTTGAAGGATGATCCTAAGGGTCAATTGAAGAAATTGGGGGAATTTGTCGGGTATCCGTTTACGAGTGAGGAAGAACAAGATGGTAAAATTGATGAGATTATGAAGTTGTGTAGTATTGAGAAGTTGAAAGAAGTGGAGGCTAATAAAAATGGAAGAGTTTATTCTTTTATTGAGAATAAGTGGTTTTTTAGGAAAGGCGAAGTTGGTGATTGGGTTAATTACTTGAGTCCTACAATGGTGGAAAGGTTTGAGAAAATAATGGATGAGAAATGCTGTAATGGATTGAAATTATGATTGATTACGTTTTGTTTTGCATCATTTTTTGGTAATTGGAATGATATGATGATGTATATGTTGGCTTTTTGCTTTGTGTTATACTTATGCCTGTATTATGTACTTTAATCAAATATGTATTGATGCTCAATTATATAAATTGGTACGAGTAATGGAGTATTGAAGGTTTGCTAATGTTATTTTCCTAACATATTCCAAAAGAAATGGAAATCACATTTGAGTCAAATCTTGGCAAAGAGGGAAAATAGTAAGGAAGTTATAATGGACTTTGTGTTTGATGCTCCATTTCCAATAGTTTGTTTCCTCTATTTCGAACTTGGTGTCATTAGCTTCATTCTCCAGCAGAGCCATCATTTCAAGTAGCCACTGCGAAATGGTGTCACTGCGTTAGGGGCAGTCAACTACAAAGCTTACATCAGGTTTAGTCATTTAGGTAGCCAGCAAAGCAAAAATAAAGGAAAATTGTTGGAGGAGCCACCCAACTTGGTTCATACACCCCTTTCCTCCCCTTGCTCCTATCTTTGGGCATGATTCAAGAGGGCATGTTGATAAATTGGAGTGTAAAACTGAGTGATAAATGGATCAATCCTTTCTCCCCTAGCAGTCGTAAGATTGGGATTTACAAAATCGACATTATGTTATCGAATTATTGCATCAAGACGTATAAACAAATCCCAATGTCTCTTCTTCTATCAAATTATTTCATCACGACGTATAAAAAGTCCTGGTCTCTTGTAGTCTTATTAGGATTCAAAATCACAATCGCCACCAATTGCGTGCTAGTTTACAAAATTTTGATTGAACAACAAAAATAAACCTAGATTTTATTTGTGGAAAGCTAGGTTGAGTAAGTACTTGATGATCTTATCTTATTTCTGCTAAGAAAGTCTTTAATGACCCATTAAAAAAATGAAGAACCCACGTATTCGGCAACAAAATCTTACCCATTAAATTTGTTAGGTGATCCATGACCAAAACATAAATGCAGGTTTAAGGCTCAACGGGCATCCTATGAATAGACATCAAACCAAATCTAACTTGATCACAAATCCACCGACGGCGTTTGGATATCACAAATTCACAATTAAGAGTATACATCGCTGTCCACAGATTCAATAGTCAGTCTTAAGCGAATTCAAAAATACTTGCTCGGATCAGGTACTTGTTGAACCAATGAAACTCACAAGATTCCGACGTTTCTTGGGATAATTTTTACTCGGTACTTCCTTTGTCTCAAAATATTTCCTACATCTTTCTTTTAGACTGTTCCAATATAGTCAACTTACTCCGTACAATATGTGGTACACTCTTTCAAAAAAAAAAAAAAAAAAAAAATATATATATATATATATATATATATATATATATATATATATATATATATATATATATATATATATATATATATATATATATATATACATATATATATATGTGGGACGCTTTTTCTCTATATATTTCTCTGAATTGGAAAACTCACTTACCTAACCTATACAACATATATATTCCACTACATTTTCGCTTGCTTAACAAATTGTGCCACAACCAAATGTTACAACAATGTTGGGATGGAGGATTATTACATTAAGTCAATGACAGTGTTTCAAAATGCAACGGTCGTGCCAGGGCGATGACAGACTTGCTGATCAACCATTGCCCCATCACGACCTCAAACGACTAGCAAGGATTTTAATTTTTTTTAAAAAAATCAATTTCAGTTTAACTAGATTGCCTTGAAGATAACATGTCTTGATCCAATGAACTAAACATGTTTATATTAGTCTAACAACGTTAATTTAATTATTGATCATACACCCTAATAATTACCTAGTTTCCCTCATTAGCCTAAATCGTTGCTAAACAAAGTAATGGTTATCGAATAATTTCACATGGTGTTACCTAACACGCTAACAATTAGTCATTTAGCCAATACTACGGAGTACTGCTTTTTGTTCATCATCTGACAAGAGTACATGGACATGAATACTGTTAAATGAAGGCAAAAAATAATGCAGTACTACGTAAAAAGCATTAAATTTGAATGGTCACCTACCTCTTAAATAATCAACAGGACAGGAAACATTTATACGACTATGTAATATGTATACTCAGTATATATGTAGCCGCTAATTTTATACCACGTAGTACAAAGTTAAACAATTGATTTCCAAATAATTTTACGGTGTACCCCCAAAAAGAATAACTTTATCATTGATCATACGTTATCTAGGATAAAATGCCAGTGGAACTAGCTCCGATAAGGGGGTCCCACTAGGGGTGGGACCCACCGAGTGCGCGGGCGAGTTCCGGCAAAGGGGACATGTAGGGCTCATCTTAAGCCATTGATCAATACAACCTACATGAAAACAATGATTACAATCAGGCATACATCTTACAGTTTGTTTGGGCTTATACTCAGACAAGCAAATGGAACATGGGCCATTATTAGGCTTAGGGAGCCTCTTGCTCTCACCCAACACCACTTCTGGGTATGATACTCCCTTTTTGGGCTGCATATCTCGGCCCACTTTTAACATAACCGGGCCTGGAAGCCCAGTTACTATGGGCCTGGGCTGCCTGTCCTGGTTACCGGCACCGTCTATGTTGTCATCGTCGCTTTCAATGGTAGGACGGTGTCGGGTGCTACCGGATGACTTGATACGGACGCAAGCGTAGGAAGCGAGCATGATGGTGGAGATGAGGACGAGGATACTAACCGCGATCGCAATGCCATAGCCGAGGCCAACGCTAGAAGTGGTTGTGATAGTGGTGGGAGGAGATTGGTGTGGGATGGAAGGGATTGGTGTTGACATGAACTAACTCATGAGATTTTGAATGAAAAAATAAATGTAGGAAAATATTGTTTTGTAAGACGTGGGAGTAAGTGTAGGAAAAAAGTGGTGAATTTTAGGAAGGTTATTAAATTTAATGTTATTTTTTTGTATATTTTTTTATTATTAGGAATTATAAATAAGGTGGTTGAAACCTAAAAAAAAAATGAGAGAAAAAGAGTGTGAAAAGAAAGAGGAGTAGTAATTAAGTAGAGGAAATGGTGGAGTAGGTGGTGCTTGCTTGCTTAAGGCCCGCCGGGCTCCACGGGAGGATATAATAAAAGAGGCATTGGAGTTGGTGTTCAACACTTGCAACTTGAATAGAAAAGTGTTATGCTTTTAATGTGGGTAGTTTCAAATCATCTTATGTCATGTTATGGATGATATGAACGTATATGTGAGCTCCCTTCATTTTAGATTTCTAGACAAATACTAGTACAAATCTTATGGGGATGTATGTGCATTGATATCTTAACAAGTTTATCTTATAGATTGATGTAAACTTATGCTCCCTTCTTCCTATAGTACAATGCCTATTTTCATTTTTATGATATAGCCCCTATTTCATTTTTATGATCAAACTTTAAACACTTGACCAAAAGCTTTCATTAATATATAACAAAATTATAGTCAAGTTAATTAGATAATGTTAGAATTGTGTCAATATGTAGTTTTACAATATTAGCTTTTTATAGTTGTTATTACATAATTAAAGATATTGATTGTCAAAATTACATCTTGATCATCGTGCGAATGTAACACCAACACTATTTTAGGGGACAAGAAAGTAACGTTTTACATTCTCTTATGTGAAAGATTCAATGATTTTGTTTTATTGTATTCCCCATTTGTCTCCAATTGTTTGCAATCAAACCATATTTTAGCGACGGAGGGGTAGTTATTTTTATTAGTATTAATGTAAGACCGGTAGGGGTGTCAATTCGGGTAAACAGTTCGGGTTTGGGTTTGATTTATCAGTTTTAGATTATAACGGGTCGGTTTATAACGGGTTGAAAAGATTAGCGGGTCAGTTTGGGTCGGTTTGAAAATCATCGGGTCAGTTCGATTTGGTTTTTTCTATTGCGGTTTCTATTCAGGTCGGGTCCTAATCGGGTCGGGTTGTATTTGGTTCGGGTCATAATCAGTTTGGGTTGAATCGAGTCGGTTTGAAAACGAGTTTAGCCAGTTTAAAGTGGGTTTCAGTTCAAAACAGTTCGGTCCTAATCGGATCGGGTTGTAATCGGTTCGGGTCATACTCAATTTGGGTTAAACTGGGTCGGTTTGAAAATGGGTTTCGGTTCAAAACAGATCGGGTGAAATCGGGTCCGGTCATTATCGGTTCAGGTCATAATCGGTTTGGATTGAACTTGTTCGGTTTGAAAACGGGTTTACCCAATTTAAAGCGGGTTTCAAGTCAAATCATATTGTGTTAAAATCAAGTCGGACCATTAACGAATCGAATTAGTCAGATAATGGGTAGGAACGGGTCATGTTATAATCAAGTTAAGTCATAAATAAGTTAGGTTTATCGAGTAGTGGGTTGAAAAAGATCAGATCATAAACATATTGAGTTATGGGTTGTAAACGACTCAGTCATAATAGGTTACCGGTCGTAAACGGTTTGGTCTCAACGGGTTACGGGTTGTAAACAGTTTGGTCTTAACGGATTACGCGTTGGAAACGGTTCGATCACAATGGGTTAGGGGTTATAAATGGTTCGGTCACAACGGGTTACGGGTTGGATCGGTTCAGGTTTATTGGATTTTTGCCGAGTTTAAACGGTTTTCGGTTTAAATGGGTTGGGTTACTATCCGGTTCAGACGTAATCGGTTCGGGTTTGTTGTCAGTTTCGGGTTGTAACGGTTTGGCTTGATAACGGGTCGGGTACTCGGGTTCATAACGGTTTGCACAAATTCGGTTCAGTTTAGTTTCGGCTTAGAATAAATTGGGTTGGGTCGGGTCGATTTTCGGTATCCAAACAATGGGATATTAACAGTTCAGTTCTTTTTCAGATCGGTTCGAAACAGTCGGGTTTAACAGTTCGGGTTAGAAACTAACAGCTCTAACTGGGATTCAAACACTTATAAATTATTAATGACATAGTTTGAACTCGTGACAAACGAGGAATAAGTTAATAGTGTTATGCTGTTACACTTAGCTAGAATGTTGAGGGTATGTTTATTATTATTATTATTATTATTATTATTATTATTATTATTTCATTATGAGGGTGTTTGCATTGTTGTTACAATTGCGATCCGGATCGTACCAAATGATCCGGATCGTTTGCAAAATCGCAATCAAGGTGGAATTGTAGTAGGATTTGGTAGGATCATATAGGATCGGTAGGATCATACGATCCCACCCGATCCTACAAATTAACTAAATGGTGAGGAATTTCAACCCAAGTTATGGTAGGATCGCGGTAGGATCGGATAGGATCGCGTACGATCGTGTAGGATAGTACGATCCTACCTGATCCTATCTGATCCTACTAGATTTTTAGATAATTTTGTATCTAAATTATTTTTTGGGTTGCATTGTCTTAAACATGGCTAATTATTCAAAAACTATTGGTTTTAGCATCAATTTTACCCCGAATCACATATAACAAGTAGAATCATAGTCTTTAATCACCCCTTTTATAAGTTTTTGTAGGATCTTACGATCCGATTTTATCGATCCGATCCTATCACCCCTTTTTGATCCAAAGTAGGATATCGATCCTGACAAATATGGGTGTTTGGTGTAGAGTTTATTAGAGCAAAATTAGTTATTATGACCAATACCTAACTAATTGACCACTAAAATAAGCTAATTGTGGTGTTTGGCGCTGAGCTGATTTAAAGAACTGATTCCACCAAATAAGCTCATTTTCAATCACTACAAGAAATTTGCTTTTTGGCAACGAAAGAAGTTGTTGCTAAAAAGATCTTTGGCAACAAGTTTGCATTTTTTGCAACGACTTTCGCTTGTTATCCATGATGCTGTTACCAAAGGTATCTACAACGACTTACTTTTGTTGCCAAAAATTATTCTTTCGCTACAACATTTCTGTTGCCAAAATGTAGTTGTTGCCAAATTTCAATATTACCTGATATGTTATTAGAAGTTTTTCGCAACAATAATAGTTGTTGTTGTTACTTTAGCAACAACAAATTTTGTTGCTGAAACTTTTTTTTGTTTTGTACTGAGAAGTTTTCCGCAACAATAGTAGTTGTTGTTAAAAACATTTTTACTTTAGCAACAATAAATTTTGTTTCTGAAAGTTTTTGTTACAGAATTAAATCATCATGTGCTTTATAAATATACATGATACAACATTTATATTCAAATTATACAATTTTATAACAATATAATTAAGACATAATGGATTAATTTCCAACGATGGCATTAGGAAGTGAAACTCATTTCATAGATCATTAAAATTTACATTATACATTATTGTCCAATAAAAAATTAGCAAGAAGTTTATAGGTAATTTTGACAACGCAAATGAAAAATAAGAGATATACATTCATTTACTAGAAAATATATAATTTCTATCTTTAAAATGATCTCTTTGTACGTCACTTCGCCATTCTTGAGTTTCATTATGATCCTCGAATGCCCCCCTGTACCAACACATACAAAAAATGTCTATTAGGACATGCTCAATATTTCAATCACATATATGAACGGGAAAACATGATTTATATATGGGAAGATAGTAGTATACTATTTGCACCAAAAAAAAGATAGTAGTAGTCTATCATAGTAGAAAATACCAAAAAACTCTACCGTACAATGCTAAGTTTCAAGGAGAACTTACATGCTCAAAACTATCATAGCAGAAGAATCTAGCACCATATCAATAGTATGAATGAATAAGATCCTAATTCATTAGCTTAGTTGTAACAATAACCAAATTAATACAATTAGTTATAATTTCAGAAACTAAAAAACCAAAAATTTACCTGAGAGTGAAGTGGGTACTAGGTATCAAAGCAAACACTAAGACGGAATTAACCTGCTATGGAGTAGATTTAGGTAACATGAGAGATTTTCCAATACATATAAATGAGAATGAAATACCTGCTTAGCCATCAACAACAAAAGCTATCACTAAGTAGAAAAAATGAAATAGACACCGTAGAATGCGCACCGATTTTTTAAAAACCGGTGCGAAAAAAAAAATAGGCGGGATTAAGAGGAAGAGGTTCACAACTATTGATCGAAGATGCTCTAATAAGTATTGAAATTACAAAGTTAGTCATCACTATAATGCCTTGGAGAACTTTTGCACAGAGTTTATCTTCCGTGGACAATAGAATTGTGTTTAACACATCGATTGAAATGGAGTTGTAACTAATTGATTAGGGAGTTGAAATCTGAAATATAACATTTTCGAATATTAAAAATAAAGAAAATAAATTAAATGAAAAATTTAAGTAACCCATTCAAAAAAAAAAAAAAAAAAAAAAAAGTAACATTTCAAATTAACCCCTTAAATTTCTTCACAAGGTGCTTGTCAAACAACTACAATAATTTTAAGTGATTAAAAATTGGGCCAGTTATAAACTACGAAGTACTTGAAATAGGTTGCCAAATAGTCTAATATGATAGAGTTTTATGTTGCAGGACTGCATTTTTTGGAGTGTACAAGTGTTGGGGTCCAGGAGCAGCAGCAGTTAGTGGTACCTCATGGGCAAGAGAACTGGACTATGATACAGCTCATCCCTTCCTTGCTAAGAGCTTTGTCAATGGTAGACATTGGATTGCAAATTCTGATGCCTAATAGCCTAATACTAGAAATAAGCATCACAATTTCTCATCAACCACTTAAAAGTATACATATACATATACCAAAAATAGCTAGCATTCTTTTATCTAAATACTAGTATAAGATATTATTTGATTCAATTTCTCTTATATATAAAAAAAATTACATGAATTCTTTACATAGACAACAAGTATATGATAATGTACTCCACGAGCTCATTCAAAATTTATATATTGTACATTTTACATGAATTCCTTACATAGACACTAGGGGTCCGTTTGGTAGGGTGTAAAACATTTTCAATGTAAAATGGTTTTCCATGAAAATCATTTTACAATGGAAAACTCATTTTCAAAAAAGTTTTCCGTTGTTTGGTTGAATGGAAAATGATTTTCCATTTTAAGCATTTTCCATTGTTTGGTTGAACTGAAAATTCAATGTGAGGGAAAATGTTTTCCCTCCACTTGTGATGGAAAATGTTTTCCTTCTAAATTGGGGGGAAAATGTTTTCAATAAGGTGGAAAATGATTTTCCACCCCAAGTTTTACATTTTAATGTTTTACACCAAACCAAACAATGTAAAATAGAAAAACACTTTTTAGTGAAAATGTTTTACGCCCTACCAAACGGAGCCAAACATTGTAAGATAT